GTTGTACATTTGCTGTCATGTTAAACTTATATTAAAGTTTTTCTTCATTACCCATTTAAGCCGTCTCCAGCCATTATAAGTAAGAATTTGTTTTAACTTGCTTCAATCTCAGGATTTTAAAATACAAGTTTTTATTGATGGATGGTCGATATCTCAGTTACTAAGTGTAGATCTGGAATGTGTTCTTGTAACGTTGTGTTCATTTCTTAGTAGCCGTTTTAATAGAACATAACGTACGTTTTTCAATCTTGGTAACCATCTTAATAAAACATACTGTGTGTTTTTTAACTTGGTTCTATTTCTTAGTAACTGACTTAATAGAACATAAAGGGTAAGTTTTTAATATTGGGTCAATTTACTTGTAGCCATCATTGTAGAACATAGTTATATTTAGTACTATTTTTAATAACCACTTTGGTCACATAATTCACGTGCTACAGAAGAATATTTGTATTTATTCTCTAACAAAGAAAACTTTGGTTCTCACAGGATTTATCTAAGTCTTAGATTTCTATTGAAGTAAGATAAATATTGCATCAATAATAAATAAGTTAACTTATACAATTAGTAAAAATGCAACAAATTAATAAATCAAAATTGTTTTTGGCTATATGTTGGATGAATAAATGGTTACTAAGTAATTCTTGGTTAATTATAGAGACACATGTTATGGAAATTGTTTCCTAATTTTGACCAATAACTTAGCTAGGCGTTTCTATAAAATATATGAATTTCTCAATTTTGTTAAGTAACACAGGACGAAGCTACTCACCTTGTTAAGTAGCATAGAATTGAAGTAAAACCTCATTCTTCGGTAAATATTAAAATATCATTTACACTTAATCCTATAAAACAAGTAACAGTAATAATGTCATCTCAAACCACACTATAAACTTATTGAAACGTATCGTTCTTAGCTACAGTCAATATTCTTTGTTGAACATTACTTTTATTTTAGTTTACAGCCATACTCCAATAGGGGCCACTAGTTTAGTAAACACTTGTTTCGGTTCCTACCCGGAATTCAAAATTATCTTTAAAACCTGAAAGTCTGCCATTTTGAGTCAAGATATTTTTAGTAAGTTAACATACTCTTATCTAATTTTTGATTCAGGAGTACAAAGAACTCTAGTCTAGTTTTGTTTTATACAGTGTACTATCAGCTCATTCTTTAAGTCAGTTGTAATGTTTAGATAAATATATATTCAATATTCAATCGGACCATATACAGAATATTTAATGAGCTACTCAAAACAGATTTTTTTTATTAGATTCATACCTAAAAGGTGGCAACCTAGCTGTTGCAATGATTTGGGTTAAATTTTGTTTTAGTTAATATTTTACTTATGTTTTCATGAAAAGAAATAACACAAGAACTGTTTTTCAGTCTTTGTATGTATTATTTTAGAAACTTAGACGTATATTTGTTTTTTAGTGAAGAGGTGTGAGGTCAGGTCAGATTTTATTTGGAGCAAGTTGATTAATTGATGAACATTAAGTTGATGTGATGGGTGCTGTTTCACTGGGTGTTTTTCTTCTAGTCTATCAGTTCAAAATTAGAGCCGTTTACAACAGAAGACAAAGAAAATCTTCCGGATACGGAAAGCAACGATTTAAATATGAAGATAAATCTAGCTTAGCTAATTGTATGTTTACAATATGTTTATCCTCAAACTTAGGTTTTATGTCTTTTCAAGTTGATAGTGAAATCACAAAAGTATCTCAATTTAGAGACGCATTTATTGTCTTACCTAACTTACCAGTAGGGATATTCAAATGCCTGACTTTGGTTTATGTATTGTTAAACTTGTTTTAAGCAGCCTGCACAGATCTGTGAGTAGCAAGTTTTCATAAACATCGGGTTGGTTAAGCACAAAAAAACGACGAGGATCAGGAAAAGCATCTTGCCTACGAACACAAACCTAAATTAAATCAGCAAATCTAGCATCTTACATTACAAGTGTCTTTATATTATATTAAACTGTGGCTTAAATAAATAGCTAAATTATCTTCGACAACTCCTTATTTCGCTTTCTTGGCCCCATTTAACATACTTCAGGCAAACCAACTTTTTGAGGTCGTGTTCCAATTGTATGCAAGAAAAACTAGGTCGACACTTCCAGGTAGAGAGCATAGACGAACTTTAGCGGATACATTCACGTGTTCAAATAATTACACGCACTACTGTACTTTCTGTTATTAATGATTCGAAATAAAACCTACTGGGTTAGAACTATGGTCTGACATATTTAATTTTCACAGTGTTTGTTGCATAGTATATTTGTAGACGTAGAGTATTTTCCAGGTCAGGAATAAGCTAGATTTGAGATGAAACATTTCCTTTTTTTTCTGTTGTATACGACTAGTGATACTCAGCAATAGCAACGAAGGAAGCCATATATCGATTTGGTTGATCTTTAGAAAAACCTGTATTAAACGTGTATACAGTGATGACAAACAAACAAACGGGGAATTTCAGTGTTATGTGAGTCACTTAACATTTAGGCGTATATATGTTATATTAACAAGGCGTATATATGTTATATTAACAATGCGTATATATGTTATATTAACAAGGCGATATTAATATATTCTTCGACGTGCTCATAAACTTACACCAACCTGTAATAACAGATACATACGTTTCAGTGGCTGTAAAATTCACTGTTATTAGTTGATATTAAGGACGTCTTTTTTCATTATGAAGATAACAGTACTCAAAACGTGCAAATAAGTTTCTCGCCTTCACAAATAACTGATGTAATATTACGAATATTTTTCTATCAGAAACGTCCGATAACTCAATAATATATGCAGTTGTTAGACTTTGTATGTTTCTAGATGTTAAAATTAAACTAAAACCTTCCTGTTAGACGTATAAGTGGTTCAGTTGTAAGCTTTAGGTCTTATAATACAAAAATTCATAGTTTGGTCACAGTATTGGCTATAGCACATACAAAATATTTTGCAACTTTGTGCTTAAAATACATGTATAGTTATAAATTAGCAACCGAAAAAGACGAAATGTCGTTTTCCAGAAAGAATACATAAACTATTTGAGAGTCGTTACGTTATTTTGCCTTATGACCGACACTATGTATAAAATCACAAACCTTAACAAATTCGGGCTTCAGATGTTCCTCAGTCATCAAATCCACTTTGATGAGGTTCAAGTTAACGCCAAGTTCCTTGGCAGTCATTAACACTGCCCGCGAAGGTGAGCTGACAGTCCAATAATAAAAATCAATTGGATCACCCATGGGCACAGTACTATTGGGTTTTCGTAGGCACGAGAGACAATCAAATGGCATAACAACTTCTAAATAATATTCTATTAAGTTCTTCAAATGTTCCTTGTCGTCAGTTTACTGTCTGGTAGACGAGAAGTTATGTCATCCACCTTGCTCTACTGGTTGATTTAGGGAGTTTATTTTATGTTCATTCCTGTTGCGCATTGAGCTAGCCAGTACCTGGAACCCGCCGTCTGTTATGCGACCGGAAATGACGTTTTCTGCTTCGACCTTCGCTTTTACCGATTTCGATTTGAAGCCACTGAGCAAAGTTTATAGCCTAGAGGAACCGTGTTTATGGGTTACTTTGTATATAACTTTTATGTGTACATACTCATTAGTAGTTAGGGTCGATTCTATGGTTGAAAAAGAGTCGAATGACCACGAATGAGATGAATGTCAAAGACAACACTTAAATAGTTTCAAAGTGCCTGATATAGTCTCGTTAAATTTGAATTGGTTATTAAGTGCTTGAAATAGCTTCGTTAAAATTGTTACTAAGCGCCTGGATTAATCTAGTTATGTTTAAACTTGTTACTAAGTGCTTGAAACAATCTCTTTATGTTTAAAGTGATTTCTAAGTGCTTGGTGTAATCCCATTATATTTAAAATGGTTAATAAATGGCTAGAATAATTTCGTGGCTTTAAACTGGTTACTGGAATAATCTAGTTATTTTGACATTGCTTGTCTGCTTCTTAAATCATTTTTTTTTCTTGTATAAGGCATATGACCTGTTTCATGCAAAAATGCTTTTAACTGTTGCTTGTTGAAACTTTTAATGATCTTGAGTCGAATTATTAGACACACCCGCATGGGGTTTGTTTGTTTTGGAATTTCGCGCAAAGCTACA